ACCACCGCCCCTCCAGAGTGGGGCCGTCCCTTCCACGCAGCCGGGGGAGAGCGGCTCTGCCTAAAAGCCATCCACGCCGGGGGCCGGGGCAGGGTGCCGCGAGAGCGAGGAGCGGACGGAGCCTGGCGGATGGCTGTACGCTCTGGGCGAGTTCTGCGGTACCTGTATGCTTTACATTTACATAAGAGCACTGTGACATTGGAAATATTTTCCTTTTATTACAATATATCAAAAATATGCAGCTTTAGTAAACAAGGTCATATTACACTTTCTAATGCACTGTACAATGCTACATTACACTTATATTCGGCATGGAGAGGGAGCCTGGGCTCCCACTGGCAGGTTCGTGGGGTGAAGCAGCGTCCACCGGCGGCCCGGAGCTTGCCCAGGTCTGCGCCGGAGCAGGCTGCTGCCCTCTGCCCCGGGCTTGCCCGGCGCCCGCAGCAGTAGCACCGCCAGCGTTCGCCCTAGGCCCTCTTCTCCGGTCCCAGACTCTTTCACAGTCCTGTCCTCAAGCCTCGGCAGTCCTGGAGCTTAGTCGATCTTCTCCACCTTCCCGACGATCTTCTCTTCGAAGATGGGCAGGATGGTGTCATCCTCCCGCACCTCCTCGAAGACCACACCGCAGTCGAACTCGTCACTCACTTTCTTAAAGTAATACCTGAAAAACCAGAAACACGAGGGCAGAGAGGAAAAAAGGAGCAGGTGAATGGTCACCAGGACACCACGATCCCCAAACAGCCCTGCCAAGCCCCTGAGCTCGTGGTGCGTAGGGAGCGACTGCCCCAGACGCAGAGGCAACCAGGGCCATGCTTCTGACTCTGCCCTCACTCAGTGAGCAGAAAAGCGTGGCCAGGATCCATGCTGGCACGTTCAGGAGCTCCAGCCCTGAATCCAGGACCATTCACAGCTCCCTCAAAAGTAGCGGCTGGAGGCATCCATGTCGGTGGAGCACTTCTAGGCAGGCTTTCCCATGGCAGCTCCTACCTGGAGAGCTACACATCCCATGCCTGGCTGCTGTGGGACTCCAGCAGGACCCAGCTCCTCCCTGTCTGCACCGGAGGAAACTTTGGGAGGAGCTGAAACAGCTCTGGAAATTGGAGGGCTTCCCACAGCATCACCGAGCACTGTTTGATGGTGCTCCTCACCAGCCCAGGACCCCGCAGGGCCCTGCAGGGCAGCTCAGCAGCTTCTGTTGAAGGTGCAAACCATGCTGCAGGACAGTTCCGCTACAAAACCCAACATCCCCCGTCCCTGTAACCTGCCTCTTCAATGGCCAAGGCGCCTCGGCCGTGCTGCCGCAACCCCACCTGAGCATGCCCTGCGGGAGCCCTCCTGGAAGGCTCCAGGAGCTCCCCTGACCGACCTCCACTACGCTCCTTCACCCTGGAGGGGCAACACCGCTGTGGCATCTGCCAGGGGTCACTGACAGTCTGCTGGCACCACACTGCCCTTACCTGTAGTTCCCTTTCTTGGTCAGCAGCTCCTTGAACTGTCCCAGTGTCACCACGCGTCCCTTGACGAGGGTGCGGTAAGGGATTGGCTCTCCGCAGAAGTAGTAAGCGACCACAATGTTCTCACACGGCTGGGACACGCCGCTGCCCGGTCTCTTCTGGGGCTTCAACCTGCCACGCAAAACCACAAGCGAGCTGCTGAGTTCTCAGCCCCCCTGCCAGCGCAGCTCTGCAGAGCCCAGGTGGAGATGCTGAATCAACACCCAGGGCCCTCAGGAGCACCCTTTCCTCCCCCCGCCAGCTCTCTGGGCACACAGCTGCATGCCGAGGCCGACGAAGGGGCAAACGGCAGTTGGGAAGGGCTGGATGGGGCCAGACAGCAGCTACCAGGAGGGCGCAGGTTCTAGTTCATCCCCTTCATGCTGCAGAAACCTGTCCCTGGGCTTTGAGTTGGGACCGCCCTTCCCACAGCAGCGCTGGCTCCAGAAGCCGTCGGTAAGCTCCACGCAAGGCAGAGCACCCCACGCCCGTGGCAGCAGACCCAGGTCACCATCTGCTTGCTGCTGGTGCGCACCGGGCACGCAGGGCTGGATGCGTGCCAGGGGACGGTAATGCAGACACTGCTCGCACTGCTCCGGGTTGTCACTGCCGTGGCCAAAATAACTCGGCGTGGCTTCCCACTGACTTCCAGGCAGGGCAGCCGCCACCCCCCAAACCCCGGTGACTTTAAACCTCCCGTGTTTTCCTGATGCTCCGGATATCGGTCCGGTCTCTGCTTCCAGCCCACACACCGGGGCTCTGCTGCGCGGTGCCATCACCAGACCGAAAGCGTCAGCGCAGCCCTAACCCCCTTTTCAGAGGCAGACGAAAGCAGCAATAACAGAACTCGGGGTACTTTGCCCTTCTGCGGAGCTTTTCATCTGGGGGCTGTAAATGCCGCACAAACACTGCAGCCGCCTACACAAACGGCTAATGTGGCACACGCGGTTGCAGCCAGAGGCAGCCTTCTCTTTCAAAATCACATAAAACAAATTTGGCAGCTTAAAAAACTTATTTTAAAAGCAAGCTGGATAAAGAAGATGATTCTGTATTTACATGACTGGAAAGCTGCTACAAAACCCAGAATTTGCCAAGCACATGAGGTAATCGCAGTTTTGGAAATGGCTCTGACCTCAACCTTTAAGCGCTGGCTCGCGGGCAGGGCACGCTTTTCACGGCATGCCCACATAAACATCGGCACGGCAAACCCAGACCAGACACCGTCTTTTCACCTCTTTCTAAAGGCACGAGAGGTCTAAGGTTCAACCGAACAAATCCCCCCAGGTGCCTGCTCTGCCTGGGAGACCTTTGGAGAAGCGGCAACACCCTGAGAGGGAAGGGCCCACTCCCGGTGCCAGCAGAGCTCTCCG